GGACTGCTGGAAAAGTTAAGCTTCCGGCTAGATGTCCTTGCTCTTTTATCTGAACTCTCTTACTTATATTCTCTCACTCAATCTGAAATCCCTTGGGAATAAGGGCAGTCTCTAAAGCAAAAACATTGTCTATTTAAAAGTAACAATGTGAAAATTACAAGTATCCTATAAGGTGGCATTACAAGAAGCATCTCCAGTTTACCAGTCAGGTGGTTCTATGTTTCAACATTTTTTTTTCCTTATAAAACTTTCCACAATGTTTTTTTTTAAATCAAAATATATCTTATTCTATCTTATTGTTTCTATAGTCCTTTAAAACATTAACAGAATCCACAATGGACTGAGAATTAGTGTCTCTGCTAGATAATTGGCAGTCAAGCTGAAACTAAATTAATCAAGTAAAAATAGCAAATGGGAGAAAATCATTTACTTAAACTTCTTCAAACCCTCAAATAAGTTACCCAGACTTAATCCATATATCCAAGGATAAAGTCTGTAAACATAAATAGAATTACTGTGTTTCTTCAAAAATAAGACAGGGTCTAATTTTCTTTTTACCCACAAAATATGGCTTGGACCTTATTATGAGGGGAGGGTTTTTTGTTTTGGGGTTGCTGGGTGGCTGCTCTCTTGCGATTGGGCTTCAAAGAGCCGGGCACAGCCTCATGGGCAAATGGCTGTGTTGCACTGTCACACCAGCGCAACACAACAGCCATGAAGCGACCACGCTCACGAACAGCCACCCGGCAAATCCCCTTTCCAGCCAGGCAAAGCGCCATTCACTGACCTAGGGGTATCACCAAGCCATGTGAATGCCTGTTCACTGCTGTCCGGCTCCCGTGGCTTGGCGTCTTCAAAATGCCAGTGAATGGTGCTCTGCACGGCTGGAGAGGGGGGTTGCGCGAGCGGCTGTTCTGCTCTTGCTCATGCACCTCTCAGCCTCACAATGCCCTGGCCCAGCTCTCCCTGCAGAGCCAGGGCACCTCCACTGCCAGTTTTTTTGGCGCCTTCCAAACTGAGTCTTCCAGCAGCGGCCGCTCTGGGCTTATGCTCTATGGTTGTGGGCCAGCTGCCGGCAGAGTGTACAACCATAGACTGTATGCCTAGAGAGGCCACTGCTGGAAGACGGTTTGGAAGCCAGTGAAAAAGCCACGCTGGGATGGTGGTGGCAGGGGTGGCAGTAGCGGAGGTGCCCTGGCTCTGCAGGGAGAGCTGGGCCAGGGCATCGTGAGACTGGGAGGCGCATGAGTGAGAGTGGAACAGCTGCTCATGCAACCCCCCTCTCCAGCCATGCAGAGCGCCATTCACTGGCATTTCAAAGTCACCAAGCTGTGGGAGCCGGGCGGTGGCAAACAGGCGCTCATGCGGATTGATGATACCCCTAAATCAGTGAATGGCGCTGTGCTCGACTGGAAAGAGGGTTTGCCGGGTGGCTGCTCATGAGCGTGGTCGCTTCACGGCTGTTGTGTTCCGCTGCTGCGACAGTGCAACACAACCGTTCGCTCCTGAGCTGTGCCTGGCTCTTTGGGAGCCCGCTTACGAGAGAGCAGCTGCCAGCAACCCCTCTCTTCAGCTGGGCACAGCGCTGCTCACCAACCTTGTGGTATTCCGAAGGCGCCAAGCAACATGATCACCTTTGCCTTCCCCCAGTTCCCATGGCTTGGCACCTTCGGGACACCGCTAGGTTGGTGAACAATGCTCTGCCTTGCTGGAGGTGGGGGGTTGTCCAGAGAGCCTATTTGTGGGGGAGGGCTTATATTTTTGCTCACCAGAAAAATGTGGCATGGCCTTATTATCAGGACATGTCATATTTTCGGGGAAACATGGTAATTAAATTCGGTCTCCCAGTGAAACTGCATGTTCACAAGAAAAAACACCTATACACATGCACGTGGCCCTCAAGTGTCACCCTAGAATCAACATGTAGATAACTTCCACAGCAGTGGTGGGATTCAATTTTTTTTACTACCAGTCCTGTGGGCGTGTCTTTGTGGGTGCGGTGTGGCTTTGTGGGCATGGCTTTGTGGGTGTGGCAGGGGAAAGATACTGCAAAATCCCCATTCCCTCCCCACCCCACTAACCTGCTTTCCAGTTCCGTTCTCCTGTTCATGGCAACAAAAGAAGATCAGCTGGGAGGCAGCAGGGTTGGGGCCAGCCTATTTGCCGGTTCTCCGAACTACTCAAAATTTCTGCTACTGGTTCTCCAGAACCTGTCAGTACTGTCTGAATACCAGGTCTGTTCCACACCCAGGACAAACTCCCCTATAACTATAACTTTGTCGCTGCGCTTAAAGGAAAACTTGTTTTTAGGAATAAATATTTCATTTTTTCTCGCAGCTGTTTAGATATCCTTTTTGTTTATTCTTGCACAAGTCTGGCTCAAGTTGGAACCTCAAATTATTCCTCTAATACACACACAATGTACTTTTGAAATGAAGATTATTCAAACATTTTAAAAACATCATTCTAAGCTCCAAAGGGCTAATATTCTCTTAATTAAATCCCAAAGTACAAGACCACCTACACGTGTGCTTTTGCAGTTTACTAACTTCTTTGCAATTCCCAAAAGGAAAGCTAAAGGCCATGCTTATTTGTGGCTTAGCTAGTGTCTGTACTCTTTAACTATGTTATTAGTGTACTGCAAGTAATTGTAGCCAATTATCGGTTATTCAGAAATTCATGCTTCACAAGTCTGTGCCTTGGGATAATGTGAAAGCCAAACAAACACCTGCTTGATTCCATTCTTCCCACTCAGGATTCTTATTTTTGTTAATCAGAGTAGTTCCTGAAGTCTGCAGCTAAGGATTTTTTCCCCAGCAATTACTTGTGGTAAGATTTTATAGTTAATACAAAAAGTACACTGCAGTGCCCATTCCTTTATTTCCCAATAAATAATGTTTTAGGAATCTGTACTTGCTTGTATCTTTGGGGGGAGGGGGGGGGGAGGGAAGGGAAAAAAAGTATATTGGGTATAAAATGTTATGTAATTGACATTTATCTAAGAACATTTATAGTAGAGTCAAGATATTTAATATCAGCTATCAGCGCTACAAGCTTTGCCCCTTTGTATGTGCATTAATATTAGGTAAAGGTTCCCCTTGCACATATGTGCTAGTCGTTCCCGACTCAAAGGGGTGGTGCTCATCTCTGTTTCAAAGCTGAAAACCCAGCACTGTCTGAAGACATCTCTGTGGCCATGTGGCCGGCATGGCTAAATGCTGAAGGTACACAGAACACTGTTACTTTCCCACCAAAGGTGGTTCCTATTTTTCTATTTGCATTTTTACATGCTTTCAAACTGCTAGGTTGGCAGAAGCTGAGAAAAGTAACAGGAGTTCACTCCATTACACAGCGCTAGGGATTCAAACCACTGAACTGCTGACCTTCTGATCAACAAGCTCAGCATTTTAGCCACTGAGTCCCTGCATTAATATTACACATACATTAAAAAGTGGCAGGAACTTCATTGTGATATGGTCTGTCATCTTGTTGACTATGACACTTAGCTGTCCTACCAGGAGCTTACTCCATCACCATCATTTTCAAAGTATCCTGTACCATTTGTAATGAACAAAACTCTCACAGAAAAACAAGGAAAGAATGCCACAGATAAACAACTAACAAGTAGGAGAGGAAATTGTCAGTAGCTTATCTAATAAACAATAGCCCTTGATTGCAAAATACCTGAGAGTAAATGATTCAAACTATTCAATGAGAAACTTCCATAATGAAATTACAAATAACAAGGATAGGAGTTCCTACTACAATTCCCAAGATTCTGTATTGTATCTCAAATCTTTGCATTAAAATATTTTATAAGAATCTGTATAATGGTAGCTTATTTGATCCTCTTCCTGCTTTATGGTGCCAGAATGATTTCCATAACACTCTAGGGATAAGTTCCTCAGAGAAGGCAGAAATACCATTACATTGGGCAGGTAATGTGATTCAATTTGGGTCCACATCCTCTTAATCTCCCTGCATTAGCAATGCTAACATGCTGGCACAGAAATCTTTTTCAGGTATTAAGGAGGCTGCAGATGGAAGTAATTAAAGCAGCTGAAGTGAAATAATATGGCCATTCTGTTTTTAGGCCATCATCCCACTACAGACAGCGACTTGAAAGTATCGCTCAACCTACAGTTCTTTGTTTTGCCAATAACTTCAGAATGTGCAGCACACAGTGTAACAAAAGACATACATTAGTCCTTAAAATTATTATGCCCAACAAACAAACACAAGCTAAAAACATGGAACAGAATGAGGAAAATCCCATTATTTCTCATTAAATTTACCACAATGTGACAGACAACAAGCTGTTCTTTTCTAGACTGATGTCATTTTCTCCACTCAGAAATTTTCTCCTACAAAGAATTATATGTATGTCAAGAATATTGAGGAATCTATTCTTATCCCCCTATCCCATCATCCGTCTGTCTATCCATCCATCTATCTGTCCGTCCGTCCGTCCGTCCGTCCGTCCGTCCGTCCGTCCGTCCGTCCATCCATCCATCCATCCATCCATCC